CAGAAGTGTCTTGCTGAAGGCTCTGGGTGACCAGAGGTGGAGGTGGGTAGTGCCAGCCATGGAGGGCTAGGGGTGGTGGCGATCACTTGGAATGGCCTAAAGCAAGTGTCTGATGGGAAGCTGCTGGAGCAGTTGGTTTCCTGACTGGGGTTGGGGGGTAGACCTGGTGTCCCTTTCCACACTCTCAAGGCTGTGGGGGGCTCAGCTGGGAATCTAGTCTCTTCCCTCTGACCTTCCTTCCTCTATTCACTAAGGCATTGAAGCCACACATCAGAGTCATCCTTATCAGCCCCCACTCTGTATCCTACCTTTGACCTGTTACCAAATTCTGTTTGCTCTCCCTCCCAAATTTCCCTCATGCCCACCCTGTCTCCACGGGGACTACCTTAGTCCAAGTTTATACCCATTTTCGCCTGGCCTTTTGCCATCAAAGGAGCTTTGCCATCCAGTCCCTGCCAGTCTTTCAGCTTTGCCCATTGATGGTCACCAAGTTACCTCCCATGCTCAGAAAATATCCAACCTTGTACCTGCTCCTCCTATTTTACACTACTTTACACTTCCCACTGAGGCTGGGATGATAGGCATCAGGCCCAGCTGCTTCTGTTGAGATAGGCTTCTGAGAACTTTTTGTTGTTGGTGGTGGTCATGGGGCTTGAACTCAGGGCCTGTCCCTCAGCTTCTCTGCTCAAGGATAGTGCTCTGCCACACTGAGCCACCGTTCTACTTCTGGTTTTCTGACGGTTAGAGATAAGACTCTCATGGACTTTCTTGCCTGGGCTAGTTTCGAACTCTGATCCTCAGATCTCAGCCTCCAGAAATGTTAGGATGATGGGTACCTCTCCTGGTTTTAAGGACAGGAGTGGAAATCCTACTATTTTATTTATCCTCCTGTTCTGTTGAGTCTCCTGTTAAAAGGTGTTCTATCTTCTACTGCTGGACAGCATTGTGCTCTTGCTGTAGGTAAGCCCACTCTTCAAGAATGTTTTCTCCCTCAATATCCTTTGAGCAGAAGCAGGTCCCTGGCTGATCTTTATGAGGAGGAGCTACTTTGAGTTCTCCTGGGATCCCAGTAGGCACTAAATGAGGAGGAGAATGGTGTCCCCTCCCCACGGAGCGGCCTAACACGGGACTCCAGTGCATGGTGTAGTAATAGGGCCTCACACACAGCTCACACTTTGAACTTTTCAGGAACGCTTGCCATGAACAGGATCATGAACACCTGCAGTGCTTTAGCCCAGGCCTTACCTGTTAGTACTAGTCCATCTGCCAGGTGAGAAAGCCTGGGCTTTCTCTGTGGTACAGAGGATGCAGATGAGGCCAGGCTCTGAGTTCTGGGTGTGAGATGCTGGTAGGTCAGAACCCCCCTGAATTCCCTCTTTACTGCTGAACATGTCATAGGACTTCCCAGTCTCCCCCTCTGCCCTCTGGGGTCTGTCCTGCCTGGCATGCCTGTAATCCTGACACAGGCTCCCACTGCAGGCACCTTCTCCAGAGGCAGAGCAGCCCCAGAATAATGGAAGAACCCTAAGAGCAAAAGGGACTTGGGGCTCACACCTTGCTGGAAGTGCAGAGCATTCTGCAAGTGGATTCACTGGTATCCATCCATTTATTTTGTCTGTCTGTCTGTCTATCTATCTATCATCTAGTGTCAATCCTGATGCTTAAACTCAGAGCCTGGGCACTGTCAATAAGCTTTCTTTTGTTCAAGGCTAGCACTCTACCACTCAAGCCACAGCTTCCCTTCTGGTATGCGCGCGCATGCATGCGTGTGTGTGTGTGTGTGTGTGTGTGTGTGTGTGTGTGTGTGTGTGTGATTAATTGGAGATGAGTCTTACAGATTTTGCTGCCCAGGCTTTGAACCATGATCCTCAGATCTCAGCCTCCTGAGTTAGCTAGGATTACAGGCCTGAGCAACCCACTCCTTCAGCCTTTATTCTTCATCTGTATTCCTATAATCCCTTTGAGGTCAAGAAGTACAATGCAAGGCCAGGTGACTTGCTTGTCCTCATGAGAAGACAGGGAGGGAGAACCATTTTGGTTTTAAGTAGCAGCTTGAAAAGCAAGGTCTATAGGCAGCCTTTTCTTTACTTTGATGTAGCAATGGAAGCTTTATTTTTTTCTTTTGTGCAGTCTATGCAGGAGGCCAGTGTGTAAGGCAGATAATGGACTGTCGTGGGTGTCCTGGACTTGGGGGGCTCTGGGCCTCTCAGCACTTCACGACAGCTGTATACATTGGTACAGAGACGGTGGCTAGTGCATCCCCATTTGACAATTGCTAGAGAAGATCAACTCTTACTTCACATTATTTACTAATTTAGCTTACTGCAACAAGAAATTATGCACATGGTTTATGAGAAGCATATTTGCTGTTGTGTTTGTAAAATGGCAATTAGGCAATGTTTCGTACAGAATTATTGGACTTTTTCTTTCTCATCATTAACCTTATTTGTGTCTGTTTTTTTGGAGGGAGGATGCTGCCAGAGCACTCTCTATACCAGATAAAACCACCCGCGCATGCCCCCAGCACAGAGGCTCCCAGAGCCAAGAAACTGCCTTCATTCCTCTTCGCATGCCCCCAGCACAGAGGCTCCCAGAGCCGAGAAACTGCCTTCATTCCTCTTCGCATGCCCCCAGCACAGAGGCTCCCAGAGCGGAGAAACTGCCTTCATTCCTCTTTTTTATTTTTTCCTGTGCCTGGGACTTGAACTCAAGGCCTGGGTGTTGTCCCTGAGCTTTTTTGCTCAAGACTGGTGCTCTACCACTTGAGCCACAGCTCTACTTATGGATTATTACTGGTTAATTGGAGATAAGAGTCTCGTGAGTCAAGTGCTAGTGGCTCATGCCTGTAATCCTACCTACTCAGCAGGCTGAGATTTGAGGATTATAGTTCAAAGCCAGCCCAGGCAGGAAAGCCCATGAGACTCTTTTTTTTTTTTTTTTTTTTGGGTCGGGTTGTGGGGCCTGAACTCTGGGCCTGGGCGCTGTCCCTCAGCTCTTCAGCTCAAGGCTAGCGCTCTACCACTTGAGCCACAGTGCCACTTCTGGCTTTTTTCTTTTTGCTTATGTGGTGCTGAGGAATCGAACCCAGGGCCTCAGGCATGCAAGGCAAATGCTCTACCACTGAGCCACCTTCCCAGCCCGCCCATGAGACTCTTATCACCAGTTAACCACCAGAAAATTGGAAGTGGCGCTGTGATTCAAGTGGTAGAGCACTCACTTTGAGCTGCAGATCTGAGGGACAGCACCCAGGCCCAGAGTTCAAGCCCCACAACTGACAAAAACAAAAAACAAAAACTTTCCGGGCTTTCCTGCCTGGGCTGGCTTTGAACCATGGTCCTCAAATCTCAGCTTCCTGAGTATTTAGGATTACAGGCCTGAGCCACCAGTGCCAAGCCTTTATTCTCCTTTTTATCTTCAGCTGTAGCTCGAAGTGCTCAGTGCTTGGTAGGAGCTCGTCGCTTAGTAGTTGCTTGAGGATTGAACCCCTAGGAGCTAGAGTCCCTAATTACAGAGCAGGAGTCAGTGAACCAGACCCAGCTTCTCCCCTGGGTTGATCCAAGGCCTGTGCAGCATGGGCCTCCCTTCCCCCCAACCCCTAGCTTCCCTTCCTGCTCTCCTTTCTCTGCCCAGCTGGCAGGAGCTCAGAGAATTTTAGTTAATTTTAATATTAGCCTAAGAAAGATTAATTAGGAAGGCAAATTTGGCCTAAAAGGTGTAATTAATTCCAAAGCCAAATAGAAGAGAGTTATGGATTATCTGTGTCGTTCCTGCCTTCAAGTGGTGTGGATAATCAAGGGCTGAGTAGACAACTGCAGACTAATTTTTGAAGTGTCGGTGCCGTGTAGACCAAACTCCATATGGTTTCTTATGTAAGCAGGCTCCAGGCTGCGACTAAGGCTGGGAACTGACTGGGAAGGTGCTCTGCAAGCCGAGCGAAGAGACACCGGTCAGGCAGCCGCAAGCTTTCATGAATCATGCATCTGTCCCTGGGCCTCCTCCAAACTGAATCATCTCTTTCCTAGACTGCTATGATACCTTCTACCCTGCCCCCAGCAGACTCTCCGCTCATCATCCAGCTACCTTTAGTCATGGCTCCTGGCCCACTTAGAACTTCAGTATGCCTGAAGGTGAAAGCTTCACAAATTGGCCCCAACCCATCCAGCTGGATTCCTTTTCCTTCTTGTTTTGTTTCTGAGATAAGGTCCTATTTATGGAGCCTCAGCTGGCTCAGAATTCCTGATCGCTTTGCCTCTGCCTCTCAAGTGCTGGGATTACAGGTGCGTGCCCCTAGGCCCAGCTCTCCTGACTGCATTCCTCCTGGCTTCCCACACTCCTAGACCATGATGTAGCTGATTTTGACAGGATGCACTATTGCTCACCCTGAAAGTTTCAGCCTGATTCACCCTTAGGCACTCCCAGTGATGGCTTCCCTGTTGACATGTAATCTTACTTTCTTTTCCTGGTTTGTTTCCTTTTCTCTTAAGGAAGACAGATCCTTCTAAGACAGCATCTCCCATGGAAGATGGTTAATAATTATGTGGTGTGTGTAGGGGTGTGTGTGTGTGTGCATGATGATACTGTGGTTTGAACTCAGGGCTTTTTCACTCAAGGCTGGTATTCTTCTACTTGAGCTCCACTTCCTGCTTATTGGGGGGTAGGGGTGGGGTGAGAGGTTTGTTTGGTGGTTAATTGGAGGTAAGAGTCTTATAGACTTTCCTGCCCTAGTTGGAAATCCTGTGATCCTCAGATCTCAGCCTCCTGAGTAGCATGCATTACCAGCATGAGCCACCCAGGGCCTGACTAGCATTTGCTGAAATTGGTCAAGGAATGATTTCAACAATGATAGCCATGAGTTTAGGTCACTGAAAGCCACACATGTCCCCTCCTCCCCGTCAGGATAAATTCAGCTAGAAATATGTGGGGAAATGGCTGTGTCCCCACTTCTGTTTGCCTGGTAGTGAGGCTCAGAGGCAGGTGGCTCCAGGAAGAAAGTTCTCGAGATGGTGACTGATGTAAACTGGAGATTGACAGCTGCTGATTGGTGCTTTGGTGGGTTCTCCCCTTTGCAAATGGTTATTGGCCATTGAAACTGCAAATCTACTATCTGCTCCCCTACGTAAATTGCATTTACATTTAAATTGTGTATTCTTCCCAAGGATGGGGTTAGTAAATAACTGGCAGATTAGAGCTGAGGAGAGGAAATTGTGCCCCGCATCAAACCTGAGACTGAAGTGACATCTGGCTTTTACTAGTTCCATTATTTCAGTTTAATAACAGCATGTGGCATTAAGGAAAGAGAAATCGGATCTCCATTTTAATGAACGGAGGAAGCTCTCAGGATTTAGATACCTTATCATGCTGAATACCTAGTGGATTGGCAATTAAAACTTGCTTCCCTCAAGAAAGGGAATCAAATGTCTCTGCAGCTACAGCGAGAGGAGAATAAAAAACAAACACCACCACCCTCCTCTCCCCAGCCCTCCCCCTCCCCCAGAAAAACCCCAAAACCAAGCCACTGTCCAGGACTATGCAGATGGAAATGCTGCAAACATCAGAGCCAAATATTCCAAGATTCTTCTTCATAGGAATCTTGGAATATTCATAGGAATTCTTCCATGGAAATATTGCTGGCACTGGGGTTGTGGATAGGGTTATGCATGCAGTGATTGATTCTTTAAGAGAAAGTCTTCAGCCAGAGTGATTGATTGAATAGTTGGCACAGAATCAGTGGCTCAGCCCATGAAGGTTAGGCGAGACCTCTGTTTTCATCCCATCCCAACCAAGCTGGGTTTAAACCCAGTTTGAGCAATTCCCTTCTCGTAGTGGCAGCAGCTGCCGCCGCTGCCCCCTCCCTGTGTAAAATGGAAGCGGTTCCACCTGCTGGCAGCCTTTTTGTTGAAAGCAATTGGGGAAAATGTAAACAAAATGCTTGTGCATCCTAATATACCCAAGCCTATCATTTATTTGCTTTGATGGAAACAAATGTGTCAATTTTCAAAGTCTTTGTTTGGTGAATCCAGTGTTTGGATGTTGCTAAATGTTTGCATGGCATGTTTGTTTGGAAACTGATGATCTATTCAGAAACTTTGGAGCACAGCCTGGGAGCACTCCCTGAACCTTCCTAGCCATCTCCCACAGCTCCTACAAATGCTTAGCTCTCTTCCATGATCTGGAGGGGGCTGATGGCACAGTGCCCCCATGGGCACATGTACATGAGAGATAGAGCCTCTTGAGGAACACACAGAAACTTCTTGAAGATTGGACTCTTAATCAAAATGTATTTTCCAAAACTCACAGTACTTACTGCTGAATACAAGGATTTTGTAAACTGTAACTGAATGAATCTTCATCTCAGCCCCAGAGAGGGGTCTCCATTGCAGATAAAAGGCACAATGGGGTCAGTAGCTTATCCTTATAGCCCTACCTGGTAAGTCAGAGCTGGGGGATCTGACTCTAAGCTGAAGTACTCCACTGTCTCAGATGCAATCCTCAGATTCCCCTTTCCCTGGTGTTTAATCAAAGCATTGTGTGTTTTCTCACAGTTACATTTTGTCTTGCATAATTGTTTTTAAAATTGCAACCGTATTTCTTAAGAGACTCCAGCTAGTAGTTAGACAGGTCTCTCCTTAAACAAAATAAAGCAAAAAGCCTGGTGCTGTGGTACATGAGGAGAAACAAGAGGCCGTGTTTTGCTGTGTGGTTGACAGCAAACATCTGTGTCTTTAGAGGAGCATCCAGAGGATGGAATGGGCTGGGACACGAAAGTATTTTCAAAAGGCCAAAGCTGGGTCTGGGAATGTGGCTTAGTGGTAGAGTACTTGCCTGCGTGCATAAAGCCCTGGGTTTGATTCCTCAGTACCACATGAACAGAAAGAGCTGGAAGTGGTGCTGTGGCTCAAGTGGTAGAGTGCTAGCTTTGAGCAAAAGAAGTTCAGGGACAGTGCCCAGGTCCTGAGTTCAAGCCCCAGGACAGGCAAGAAAGCAAGAAGGCAAGAAAGAAAGGAGAGAGGAAAAAAATAAAAAAGAGGCCAAAGCTGAATAGCACCCAGGCCCCAAGTTTAAGCTATGACCGACAAAAGCTATAACTTCTGCAACTTTTGACCTGCCCTTAAACCTGATTCTAATTTTGTGTGTGTGTGTGTGTGTGTGTGTGTGTGTGTTGGTAATGGGGCTCAAGTTCTGGATGTTGTCCCTTAGCTTTTGCACTCAAGGCTAGTGTTCTACCACTTGAGCCACCGCTCTACTTTTGGCTTTTTACTGCTTAATTGGAAATCGTTTCACGGACTTTCCTGCTGAAGCTGGCTTTGAACTATGATCCTCAGATTTCAGCCTCCTGAGTAACTAGAATTAGAGGTATGAGCCACTGGTGCTCAGCTTCTGGGTCTAGTTTTCTTAAGTAAGAAAGCCTTAACTAACAGACGTTTCTTCCAGCTTCCTATTCTCCCTAGAGTAAATGGCCTCCCTATCCATCCATGACTGTAGGTCTTTTAATGGTGGTCTAGACACCAGCACTCATTTGATTTCTCTTTTTTTCTCTTCCCACTTTCCGGGCACCATTCAGCTGGGTTGCAGTTCCTTGCTTCCTGTGTATAGTGGTAGCTTCTCTCCTCTCTTGACATTTCATCATGGCTGTCTGCCTACCAAGCCGACCGGTGTCTCTTTCTGCTTGAACTTAGGTTAAATTAATCATCTGATTTCTACATCAGTCTGTTGCTATGAGGGTTACTGATGTCATACTGTCAGTATTATGATTACCATAATATCTAACAGGCAGAGAGGGATTGGTTGCTAGAGGAAACCTTAGGATGAAACTGTCCCAGCTTTAGTAACCAGCCTGATTGCACAGACTTTAGACACCATGTGAAAGGGGTAAGTGGATTAATCGTGCAGTTGGATTCCTTTGAGTGATTTTTTCTTCCATATGTGTGTTCCGTCTAGGCAATTGTCCAGTGCCACTTGAGATTGATGAGGGCTCTCTGGAAGGTTATTCCGGGGAAATGGGGAGAACAAGAGAGCTGTTCTTAAGAACAAATGTCACCGGATCTGCCTAAGCCACTGCACAAAAAAATCTGAGGTGCTAAGCTTCAATGCCCCACTCTGGTGTTGGCTGCTTCCTAGTGGTTTAAAAGTGGTTACAGGCTCTGTATAGTAGCTTTACAATTTAAAAAAAAAAAAAAAAAAAAAGTGGTTACAGGGCTGGGAAGGTGGCTCAGTGGTAGAGTGCTTGCCTTGCATGCATGAGGCCCTGGGTTCGATTCCTTAGTACTACATAAACAGAAAAAGCCGGAAGTGGCGCTGTGGCTCAAGTGGTAGAGCACTAGCCTTGAGCTGAAGAGATGAAGGACAGAGACCAGGTCCAGAGTTCAGACCCCATGATGGAAAAAAAAAAAAAAAGTGGTCTTCATTCAGCCTGGTACCATGATTCATGCCTACTCAGGAGCCTGAGATGTGAGGATCTTGGTTTGAAGCCAACCTGGGCAGGAAAGTCCATGAGACTTTTTTTTAAAATTTTTTTTAAATTTTTATTTTTTTATTGTGAAAATACTGTACAGAGGAGTTACAATTACATGGGCAAGATAATGAGTACATTTCTTATCAAGCATTGTAGCCTCCTCCTTTGTTTCCCCTTCCCATCCCTTCCCATCCTCCCCCCGCCCCCCCCCACCCAGTCCTCCCCGCTATCCCCCTCCCCCCGCACCAAAGTTGTAAAGTTCATTTTTCGGCATAATTACTTGTACATCTCCATGAGACTTTTATCTCCAATAACCATCAGAAAATTGGAAGGGGAGCTGTGGCTCAAAGTGGTAGAGCGCTAACCTTCAGCAAAGAGCTCAGGGACAGCACCCAGGCCCTCAGCTGAGTTGAAGTCCCAAAACTGACACAAAAAAAAAGAGAGAGAGAGAAAGAAAGAGAAAGAGACAGAGAAAGAGAGAGACAGACAGAGAGACAGAGAGACAGAGAGAGAGAGAGAGAAATGGAAATATGACAAAAAATAGAGGCTTGGGGCTGGGAAGGTGGCTCAGTGGTAGAGCGCTTGCCTTGCATGCCTGAGGCCCTGGGTTCGATTCCTCAACACCACATAAGAAAAAAGAAAGCCGGGCGCTGGTGGCTCACGCCTGCAATCCTAGCTACTCAGGAGGCTGAGATCTGAGGATCGCTGTTCAAAGCCAGCCCGGGCAGGAGAGACCGTGAGACTCCTATCTCCAATAAACCACCAGAAAACCAGAAGTGGCGCTGTAGCTCAAGTGGTAGAGCGCTCACCTTGAACTGAAGAGCTGAGGGACAGCGCCCAGGCCCAGAGTTCAAGTCCCACGACCGACAAAAAAAAAAAGAAAAAACCCGGAAGAGGTGCTGTGGCACAAGTGGTAGAGCACTAGCCTTAAGCTGAAGTGCTGAGGGACAGTGCCCAGGCCCAGAGTTCAAGCCCCACGACTGGACCCAAAATAAATAAATAAATAAAATAAAATAAAAATAGAGGCTTGCCTTGGGCAATAAAGCTCAGGAATAGCACCAAGGCCCTGAATTCAAGCCTATGACCAGTAACATACACAAAGCTTCTGGAACTCATAGGAAAAGAAGACGCTAACATTTACTAAGTGCCTATTGTACGGAAAAAATAATAATAATAAAGCTTAGCTTTTACACAGAAGACAGGCCAGCTAAGATGTCCCTGAACAAGTCTTAACAATCCATGGCATTTTCAAGCTTGTATACAATGTTCTTCCTAATTGGACATTGACTGATGTCCAATAAAAGCCAAGTCATTACTTAAAATTGGTCTAGATCCTCCTATGCTGAGTAATTATCTTGCGATCGTTTTCACTACAATATTAAAAAGCCTTGAAACATTATAGAAATGAGGTACAACAAATAAACTCCTAAATTAAAAAAAAATCTCTGTGAAAAGGCCTGACGAATGGGTCTGTCTTTTTCAGGATTTTGTGAAGTAGGTGTCAGGTCAGGGTGAGGTTTGGGTTTGTAGGGAGAAATTAAGAACTCCATGGAGTATCAGTGATGGAATTTAGGCTGTGTGTGTTTACAGTCCCATATCAAGATTTGCACCAATCTATATAAATCAATTTGTGTGCCAGAGAATGAATAGTTGACTTTTTTTTTCTCCAAATGCCAATTCAGCAATTACAAAGTCTGCTGGTGGTTAATTAAAACAACCATCTCGTTATGCTCAGAGTTAAATTGCAAGTGTGAAAACCACTACTGTTTGCAATAACTGAGTGTTCTGTACTCTGCACTCCCATCAAAGGAGGCCAGGGATAAATAACTTTCATTTAACTTGCAAAAAAAAATTTCTCTCAGCCCTTTCCTATTTAATTAACTTATCTTTTCACAGAGCTTGAGTCTTACTGAGTTTTGGAGGAGTAATGGAAATCCTTGGGTATTTTGTCTAGAATTTTTTCTCTTGTTAGTTGTATAGAAAATGTCAATTGAATCCCAAGAATTCTGTGTTGATGCTACACCCTCCCAAGGCTTCATAAGGGGACCCCCTGATCCTTACAGGGGTTCTAGGTAGAGAGCCGCACAGCAGTGATACATGTTTATCATCTGTTGTACCTCTAAGAGCAGGAGATGGGGCTGTGAGCCCTTTTGTGGGTGAGTAGCAATCTCGCACTTCTATGTGAAGCTGGGTTCAAGAACTTCATGTCTTATGATTGCAGGGATTCCACTGTAAGAAAAGACCACGCTGCTCTCACTATGGTAGACGTGCAGTGAGTGTCTGAGCAACTGTGACTTGCAGATCCATCTTGAACAGCTTGGATTTTCTCCTGGTCCCATACTACGTATGTCTAAGGCAAACTGAAGGACATTTGTGGTTTGCAAATGACCTCATTTAAAGCGATTTACAGCTGGCCCTCCTGGCAATTCAGGGAGATCCGAGGATCATGGGTCAAAGCCAGCCTGGACAGGAAAGTCTTTGACCAAAAAGCCAGTAGTGGAGCTATGGCTCAAGTGGTAGAGCACTAGTCTTGAGCAAAAAAAGCTCAGAGACAGTGCTCAGGCCCTGAGTTCAAGCCCTAGGACTGGAACCAAAAAAAACAAACAAGCAAAAAAGAAACACACACACACACACAAAAGCCTTACAATAAAGGAATGTATGCAATAAGAATCATGAAAATAGAAATAGGTTAGGTACAATGGCTCACACCTGTAAGCCCAGCCACTAGGAGGCAGAGATGGGGAAGATTTCAAGGCCATCACCCCAGCTACATAGGTTCATGGTCGGGGAAGCTAGGGAATAAATGGAGACCCAATTCAAAAAAATAACTAAAGCAAAAAGGGTTGGAGTCCTGGCTCATGGGAGGGTTTCTACCTGGCAAGTGCTAGGTTCTGAGTTAAATCCAGTATTGCCAAAAAATAAATAATAATTAAATAGAATAACAAAAAAAAATACAGAGGGAAGAAGTGATAAATAAACCAGATTTGTACAGATTATAAATACAGTATGAGTTCAAGGGCCTGAGTTGTTATTGTTTTTTCCAACAGTTTCAAGTAGATTTTTTTTATTCTACCTCCTGTTGTGATGGGGTATTTAGGATATGCTCGTTTTTGTTTGTTTGTGGTTTGGATTTTGGGGGTTTTTTTGGTCTTGGGGCTTGAACTCTGGGCCTGAGCTCTTCCCTGAGCTCTTCAGCTCAAGGCAAGCACTCTACCACTTCAGCCACAGCACCAATTCCAGTTTTCTGGTGGTTCATTGGAGATGAGTCTAACAAACCTTCCTGCCCAGGCTGGCTTTGAATTGTGATCCTCAGATCTCAGCCTCCAGAGTAGCTAGGATTACAGGTGTGAGCCACCATTGCCTGGCTAGGATATGCTCTGTTTTCTTCATCTACAGTGTTATTGTCTGTAGCTTCCATAGACAAAATGCCTGTATGTTTCCTTGTTCTTGGGTGCATTGCCTGCCTGTGGGTAGTGTGTACAGGCACCACCTAAGTGTTTGTAGACTAGAGGGAGTGGGTTGAGTGACTGTGGAATCCACTTCATTTAAAAAGTCATAGTATTAACCAGTAATAGAAGGGGCTAGGTCTCAGTTAAAGATTATCTGTGTCAGCTGGGCACTGGTGGCTCATGCCTGTAATCCTAGCTACTCAGGAGGCTGAGATCTGAGGATCGTGATCGCAGTTCAAAACCGGCCCAGCCCAGAAAGTCCGTGAGACTCTTATCTCCAATAAACCACTAGAAAAGCAGAAGTGGTTTTCTCAAGTGGTAGAGCACTCACCTTGAGCTGAAGCGCCAGGGACAGTGCCCAAGCCCAGAGTTCAAGCCCCACAACCGACAAAAAAAAAAAAAAAAAAAAGCATTATCTGTGTGGGTATGGATGTTCGTATGCATATGTGTGTGTGCCAGTAATAGGGCTTAAACTCAGGGTTCTCCCTTAGTTTCCTACTCAAGACTGGCATTCTACTACTTGAGCCACACCTCTAGGTCCAGCTTTTTTGCTGGTTCACTAGAGAGAAGAGTCTCAGACTCTGCTGGGGCTGATTTTGAATCTGGATTCTCAGATCTTAGCCTCCTGAGGAGCTTGGATTACAGGCCTGAGCTGCTGGTACCCAGCTAAATTAATAGAATACCTTGAAGCCAGTAGATCATACACAAAAGCAGAACAATTACATTTGTTCTCCCAATTCTTTCTCAGCTTCTACCAGAAAACTATATGAAAAGAAACTGGTGCAGTTGCTGGTCTTACCTCCTAATGGATGACCTGTGGTGAAGGAACTCAGAAAGCTGTGTAGCACTCAGGATAACATGGAAGGTATTGCCATAACTTGTTCCGCTAGCTAGCAACTGTGCGCTCATGAATCCCCTGCCCCGCATGATTGGTGAGGCTTTAAGTGGTGTGCAAGCTGACCTGTGAAATAGTGTGTGGCCTGCTTGCACACTGAGCCAGGAAAAATAGGCCCTGGGGCTGCCCAAGAAACTTGTAATTCCATATCTGTGTTCGCTCTGAGACTCAGTTGGATGGGAAGTTGGGAGAAGGATTGAGCTAACTAGAGCCAGGTTCCTTAAAACCAGAAGTTTCTACAGGCAAATGCTGAACTTCCTTTGAAATCTCAACTTCTTCTTTGTTTGAACAAATACATTCCATCGTTAATTTCTTTTGGATGAAATTATTTTTTAAATAATTTTATTGGGTGAAGTTGTTTTGTGACTAGTAAGCTGGTAGCTCATGCTTCTAATCCTAGCTGCTCAAGAGGTTGAGCTCTGAAGACCATGGTTCAAAACCATCCTGGACAGGAAAGTCCATGAGACTTTTATCTCCAATTAACCACCAAAAAAAGCCAAAGGGGAGCTTTGGTTCAAAACATACTAGCCTAGAACTAAAAAGCTCAGGGACAGTGTCCAGGCCCTGAGTTTAAGTTCCAGGACTGGTACTCTCTCACACACACACACACACACACACACACACACACACACACACACACACACACACACACACACACACACACACACACACAAGAAAAGATGAAGTAGCTTGTACCATCTTTGAATTTTTCTTTCCTAAGCCAACTGCACTCTTTATTCCTATGGGAACGGAAAGCAGCAGCTAGCTGGTCCCTTTTGGGGTCACTGAGTGGGTGATTTGGGAGCGCTGGGCTTGGGGGTCCGGAGGCCCGTGTCCTGGGTGCACCATTCTCCTGCAGTGGTATCTGTGCTCGGGCACTCTGGCCTTGGAGATTCCCACACTAGATTCCCCAACGTTTCTTAAGAACCCTCTTTAAGCCATAGTGAATAACTATACACCATCTCATTTAACCCTGACAATGCTTAGCTGAAGCTCCAAGGGGCCAACATCACAGAGGTGGGCAGTGACCTCTGAAGATAGGCACACATTTGCATGTGCCATGCAGAGTGGAGCCCGGGCACCCCCATACTGTCCAGCAACTAAAACAAAGCAGCAATTCCATGTCTGTTTGGAGAGTAAAAGTGACAGACCCGAGATTTGAACTCACATCTGGCTCTCAAAATTGTCTTTCCACACAGACCTTCTATTTTTCTTATAATTTCTACTATGGGGCAGAAAATGCTACACGTTGCACCAGGTCTGCCCTGGATCAGGGACAATTTCATGTCCTTCAAGTGGACAGCTCAACCAGCCATACAAATGCCCTCTGGAAACTTCCTGGTCATCCTAGAATCGGAGAGGCATGGAGCTTACCCCGAGGGGCAGGCACAGCCAGCCTTATTTGAAAAGGACAAGGTCTAGGGGACGGCCATCACCGACCCTAAGGAGGCAGTGTGTGCCAGGGAGCCCAGGACTAGGGCTCTCCCAGACGCCAAAGTGCGGCAATGCTGGCTGGGAGGAAATTGATCCTCCCACATCTGAGCTTTGCCTGCTTCTAACTGGGTTCATTTGCTGCCAACCAACTGCAGGGCACCAGGTCAGAGGCACAGGCCCTGTCAGCAGTACCCCTGGAAGGCCACCCTTGCTCCTGGTAGAATGCCCTGTCTCCAGGGGAGGGCTGAATTTGCCCCTCCAGAGAGTCTCACAGCCTCTGGTGGCATTGGAATGAAGTGGCTGAAAAGTGATTGATGGGGATGGGGATGGGGATGTGAGTGTCCTATGGCACCTAATGCTAGGGTGAGACTGTGTGGAAAGTTCTAGAACAATTCTGAGTCATCCAAACAACAGTTGCTTTTTCCTTTTCTCCTTTTCACTCACTGTTTGGACAGCGTGGGGGATAGAGCTTAAATGATCTAACATCTTTTCAACTTCCCAAATCTTTCTTTGGCTTGAGGAGCTCATTTAAAAGTCTCCCATTAAGCCAGCCTGGTGGCTTAGGACTGTAATCCTAGCTACTAAGACAGGAAGCTGAGATCTGAGGATCCTGATTTGAAGTCAGCCGCAGGCAGGAAACTCTGAGAGTCTCTTAACTCCAATTAGCCAGCCAACAAGAGCCAGATGTGGAAATGTGGCTCAAGTGGTAGAGCGCTAGCTTTGAGCAAAAGAAAGCTAAGCAACAGTGTGAGATCCAGAGTTCAAGCCCCAGGACCAGTGCGCGCGCGCGCGCGCGCGCGCACACACACACACACACACACACACACACACACACACACACACACAGATAGAATCTGGGCTCAGTTTGTGAAAGCGCAGGAGTCTTGATCCAAATACTGTATTTGATCCAAATACAGCACAAGCTGATTTCTACCACTGGCTGCCTCCCCCCCCCCTCTCCTCCCTGCCGCCCCCCTCCCCAAAGCCTTTGAGCACAGACCTGGCCTTATCCTCCCCTAGGTGCTTTTTTTTTTTTTAAATATACACAGAGAGAGGGAAAAAAAATCCTCCTGCTGTTCTGACATTTAGGGCTGCACAGAGCTGGCACACGGGGACAATGACAAGGCTGCAAACAGCCGTCCAGACGAGCAGCTAGCTCATGACAGCCAGTCCAACCGTGTCCCCAGGGGAGGCCCAAGCGGCTGCTCTAGGCTGCTGGAGCTCCAGAGGTTGGGGGAAGGCTCTTCTCCCTCAAGGAGGGCAGCAGGAATTTTCTTCTGTGCAGATGCCCTGGGTGGAGCGCATTCTCCCACACGTTGCTGGTCATGTCCTTCGCTGGCTTGTACATTCTCATGGCCTGTTTTTTTTTTTTTTTCTTTCTCTTTTTGTTTCCCTTGATCCAGAACTTAATATCATTTTGAAAGGAAATATCACACTCACCACAGGAAAAGAAAAAGACAAGGAATCCAAAAAAGTACGTACAATTCTAACACATGAATGATCTACCTCGTTATCTACAGATGAAAAAGAACAGCAAATAGCACTTCTGTTAGAGGTGGAAAAAAAAAATCCTGATTGAGAGGATCATTTGAATTCAGGTTTTTGTGGGTGACACTTTGAGATGGGGTCTCCACCCCAACACCAGATTGGAGCAGGAGGCCAAATCCATGAGGGTCGCATGCTTACGAATAAGGTCTGGTTGGTTCAGAGACCCTCTCTCCGCTTACTGGTAGAACGCTTTGGGGAGGTCAGTTGGTAGCTGTAAGCCTCTGCATGCTCGCAGAGCCCCTCCCTCCCAATGCTCTATGGAGTATAAGGCAGGTCAAGTTCTCACTGCAGAATAGTGCAGAAGCGAAGCTCAGGAAGGACCTCCGCTACCCTGTGCATTCCATCTCCTAACCACCATTTCTCAATGACTGTAGGCTCTTTTGCTTTCTCATCTTTCTTCCATTCCCTCATCTTCCTCTGGCTTCCCCATCTTGCTCCCCTCATCCCTGGGCCTGTGTATGGTGGCTTCCCAGGACTATGGGTCTGGTACAGGCCTGGCAGAAGAGCCGCTTTCTGGAAAGCATCTCCCTCTTTGTTCTCCATCCCTCCATCTCTTTTCGCCTCCCTCCCTCCAGCCAGCCAACGGTGTGTCCCAGACGGGTGAGCATTTTGCAGATGGCAGGACGTGTGCAGGCTTTGCCTTTTGGATTCGGGAGGGACATGAGGACCAAGCAGAGCTTTACTCGGTGCAGACTTAGAAGCCCTGGTGGCCTCTGTCGATGGCCACGGCTTTGCCTCTGCCCCTCCCCCGTCCAGATTCAAAGGCTCCCGGACACCTGGAAGTGCCGCCCCCCTCTGCCCACCCCCCATGGACTGCCACGTATTTACAGAGGTCAGGTCCCAGGTGCAGTCGTGTACCCCTATAATCTCAGCACTCAGAGGCTGACATGAGGATCCAGAGTTCGAGGCTACCTACTGAGATCTTTTCTCAAAAACAAACCAACCCACCATTTACCCCAGGGGCAAGATATGTAGCTGAATGCAGGGTGTTACCTAACATACGTGAAGGTTTGAGGCTGGTCCTCAGCCCTGCAAAAAACCCGCCCCCAATCAACCAAACCAAAGCAAACGAAACACAAAATAAGGTAATAAACAAAAACACCATCCTGGCTTAGTCTTCCCAGAGCTACTATCCTATTTTATGCCATATTACTTTTTTTATGTACTTGGTACAATTGCAAAATTATTGTAGAGTGGTCTCTGCCTTCAGCTTCCCAATTTTCCCTGCTGGGATTAAATCACAACACTGAACTTGCTCAAAACCAGCTGCTTCCTTGACGTTAGCCCCTCCTCACCCAATCCCCACTGCTCCCGCCTTGGTTCCCAGAATCCTTTTCACTCTTACATCCTGCATCCCATTTTCCTGTCAAAATCCGGTGATGATTTAAGAAATGTCCCAAAAAGCCAGTGGCTCACAACTGTAATCCTAGCTACTCACAGGAGGCTGAGATCTGAGGATAGTGGTTCAAAGCCAGCCCAGGCAGGAAAGTCCGTGACACTTTTTATCTCCAATAAACCACCAGAAAACTGTAAGTGGAGCTATGGCTCAAAGTGGTAGAGCACTAGTCTGGAGCAAAAAAAAAAAACAACTCAGAGATAGCACCTGGGTCCTGAGTTCAAGCCCTATGACCAATAACAACAACAACAACAACAACAATATGGCCTAGAACCTCATCCACTAGCAGCCACAGAGCCTCACACAGAATGGGGTCCAAAGCTCACCTAACAGAATCTACCAGAAGTTCTAGTGTTGAACAGTTAAGTTTGCAAATGTGCTCCTGAGTTTCAAATGACTGCAGAGTTAAACCAATGAAAAGGAATTCCAGGTAAACATTGGTGCAATGTGCTTGGCGTTTGCTTCCTATTGAAGCATAATTCAAATCTGATGAAGTAATTCTGATAGCATGTCAGATTTTCTGAAAAGGTTTTTAAATGGCTCGTTAAGGGTTCCTTTGCATTCATCGCAACCTCGGTTCCTCAGAAAATCCTTTTGTCTTGTTCCTGCAAAGATGTTTATGGTAGAAAAAGCGACCTGAGTGTAGGAAGAGCAACTCGCGTGGGCTGAAACACGTCAAGGGTGGCGGGTGCTCTTTCCTCTTTGCTTTCTGTAGGCCTGAAGGAAAGCCACATCAATATTTTGAATTGGCAATAGAATTAAATAGAAAGTTTGTGATGGCAGAAAATCTTTTGATCTGAAGGATTTATGTAAGCCATTTTGATTCCCAGAAAGGCCCCAAGACATCTGTTCAACTTTAAATCCGAAAGTAAATGTAAATAAGCATTTAAATTCCTATGTAAAAGTGGGGGTAGAAAGTGTTTATTGAGACACTCGTCTTACACTATAGACTTTAATTACTTAAAAGCACTGGTCTGTACCTAACAATCTTCTGCGTGCCTAGAGAGGCAGTATTTGCATTCCCCTTCCCCCCAAAGCACTCTATTTCCCTCTTATTTTGGTGGGTTCCTAGTGGAATAGAAGACGCTGTGAGAGCCAGACTATATCAGCTTCTGCACTTTCTTAACCTTGTCTCAAGGAAAGAAGGGAAGGAGGGAGGGAAGGAGACCGAAGGGGGAGAGAGAGAGAGGGAGAGGGCAAGGAAGGAGGAGGAGGGTGGGAAGAAGGAAGGAGAGGGAGGGAAGAAAGGAGAAGGAGGGAGGGAAGAAGGAAGGAAAGGAGAGGAACAGAAGGAGGGAAGGCGGAAGAAAGGAAGGGAGGCCTTTGTTTTTTAATGGGAGTGCTTTTGTCTGAAAGACAGGAGACTGGGCTGACACTTGCAGTGATGGGGTGGCTTAGCCCCGTGTCCCCTGCTGAGTTGGGAGGGGTGGGGGCGTGGGGGTGCCCATCCTGGCACATCACAGGAAGTGAGATGCAAGTGAGAAGTGAGAGGACATGGGACCCATGGTGTGAAATGGGACACTAGCCAGGAGGAATGGGGGATGGGGCTGGTCCTGGCCACAGCAGGGCCTATGGGCTGGGGCTAGTGCCAAGGTTGAAGGGTGTGTGTGTGTGTGTGTGTGTGTGTGTGTGTGTGTGTGTGTGTGTGTGTGTGTGTGTGTGTGTGTGTGTGTGTGTGTGTGTGTGTGTGTGTGTGTGTACTCCTCTTGGGAGGGCAGGGATATCTGGCCCAGCTGTGTCCTCCTGCCTTGTCTGGGCCCTTCTCTTTCTCTCTCTCTCTTTCTCCCCCACCCACCCATACACCACGCCCTTTGTAGCCAGGATCTCCATTCCATTCCATGCTTTATGTTGGCCCAGCCTAGGTCTCTCTCTCTCTCTCTCTCTCTCTCTCTCTCTCTCTCTCTCTCTCTCTCTCTCTCTCTCTCTCTCTCGCTCTCTCTCGCTCTCTCTCGCTCTCTCTCTCTCTCTCTCTCTCTCTCTCTCTCTCGCTCGCTCTCTCGCTCGCTCGCTTGCTCTCCCCTCCCTCCTCTGTGCCACTCCTTGGGCTTGAGCTCAGGACCTGAGCACTATCCCTTAGTTTTTGTGATCAAAGCTAACACCCTACCACTTGAGCCACAGCTCTACTTCTGGCTTTTTGGTGGTTAATGAGAGATAAGAATCACATGGGCGCTGTAGCTCAAGTGGAAGAGCGTTAGCATAGAGCTGAAGAGTTGAGGGACAGCACTCAGGCCCAGAGTTCAAGCCCTACGACTGACAAAAACAAAACAAAAAACCCTCCAATTAAAAAAAAGAATCACATGAACTTTCCTGCCCAGGCTGGCTCTGAACCCTGATCCTCAGATCTCAGCCTCCTCAGGAACTAGGATCATAAGAGTAAGCCACCAGGGCCTGGCCATGAGGAATATTTTTAAATGAGATCTGCAAACAAAGTATATATTTAAAAACAAAAACATAGACTGGACACTGGGTGTAGGCGGCTCTGGGAAGTCCGTGAGACTCTTATCACCCATACACCACTGAGAAAAAGCCAGAAGTAGAGCTGCAGCTCAAGTGGTAGAGCGCTAGCCTTGAGCAAAAAGCAGCTCAGGGACTGCGCCAAGTGCTGAGTTCAAGCCCCAGGACAAGCATAAAACAAACAATACAACAGCCTAGAGAGCCAGACTGTCAGGGTTCAAATCCCAGCTCTGCCAGACACTTGGGCAGGCCTCTCCAGCTGTGTTTCCTCATGTATGAACCAGGATAGCAGGGACGTCGGACTTTGCGCAGGGTTGGGAAGATGGAATTCCAAATGTGAAGCGGAGCCGAGGCGGAGCGCAGTGGTGGAGCCGCGGCCTAGTGCGCGCAAGCCCTGCCCGCCCATCCTCAGCACTGCCAAAAATAAAAATAAAATAAAAGTCGTTCTGGAACATAATAAGGAGCTATTTACGTACAAACAAGAACCATGATTATTGTTAACGTGACTGTTGTATAAAGAGCATGATGCTTAATTATCTGCAATACAAAAGCAACATATTTAGTGGAAAAAAAAAACCTAACACCATGGAAATACTCCAGTACTAAACGCCTGAACCACACAGAATGTGGCTTATCAGTGTCTGCAAATATAGAAATAAACATGCAGATACAGTACAATTATAGATGGCTTTCTGTGAAGACTGTGGAGGATGGATACCAACTGAGCTTTCGTGTGTTAGAGCTGGGTGTGGTGGCTCACACCTGTAATCTTAGCATCTGGGACATGAAGGAGGGAGAATCTTAAGTTTGAAGTCAGTTTGGGCCTGTGTCAAAGTAATAATAATAATAGTAGTACTAGTAGTAGTAGTAATAATAATAATAATAATAAATTTAAAGGTATTGAAGACTTCTTTATTTTATGCTTAAATTCTTCCCTACCTTTTAAGGTCTTTTAGTGTATGTATAGCACTGAGGTTTGAACTCAAGCATTCTACCACTAGAACCATATCTCCAGCCCTGCTGTTTGTTGGTTATTGAAGATGAAGTCTTTCGGACTTCTTGGCTCAAGCTAGATCCTCCAGATCTCAGCTTCCTAAGTAGCTAGGATATAGGCATGAGCCACCAGCGCTGACTTCTTTGAAATATTTAAAGAAATGAAGATTGAAATGTTTCAGACATACAGAAAGTAGCAAAAATAGGGAGCTGGGAAGGTGGCTCAGTGGTAGAGCGCTTGCCTTGCATGCATGAGGCTCTGGGTTGGATTCCTCAGCACCACATAAGCAAAAAGAAAAAAGTAGGAAGTGGTGCTGTGGCTCAAGTGGTAGAGCGCTAGCCTTGAGCTGAAGAGCTGAGGGACAGCGCCCAGGCCCAGAGTTCAGGCCCCATGACTGGGCTCCCCCCCCCAAAAAAAAAGAAAGAAAAGAAAGTAGCAAAAATAGCACAAAGAATTCCTGTATTCCTTTTACCCAGATATCTCGTTTTTTCTTGTATCACTCACTGTGTATGTGTAAGTGTGTGTGTGCACGTGTGTATGTGTGCGCATGTGTGTGTGCATACACTACCATCATTCAGTCTGGGAACACGGTGCATACAAAACCCCCAGCCCACAAGCAAGCATTCTGTCCACCCCCACGGGGCGCATTCCCACTGGCACATCGTGAAACGCTCCTGGTGTGACCCACGAAGCCTCCGTGCGTCTCTGATGCCCGGCTAAACTGCTTCATTTCTTCCATCTCCTTTTGCTTTCTGC